CACACTAAAATTAAGGGAAAAGTATTAATAATATCGTGAAACCACGATATATCAACAGTATTGCTAGGAAGAGTGCCCGATTGACGTGGGATCACAGTCGAAGACAATTGGGCGATTTGCAACTCAAGATGCTCGATCGAGATTGCATGAGCATCAACTTTTTTCCCAAAACTTGCTAAGGCACTCCTCAACTCTTTAGTGTGCTCATCACTAGTATCTAACCTCCTCATGATTTTCTGCAACATATCCTTAACTCGCGTCATACTACCTCCACCATCCCTAGGAGCAACTTCACGAATTTGAGGTGGAGCATAGGGCCCACTCCTATCATTTCTATTACCATAGTTACCGCGGTTGAAGTTGTTTTCCTGATTGTAATTTCCATCTCAGACATAATGACCCTCTCATTTGTAATTACCATACTTTCGACCTTGATTTACCTAACCTTAGTGCCAATTCTCCTGATTAGAGCCTTGGGCGTTTTGTTGGAAACCCACCGTCTAGTCATTTAAAATATAAAAGTTCTCCTTATAGTAATACTCATCTGTCGGCAGTAGTGGTTTAGACAAGCAGTTCACCACATTTACCTTTTCTGCACCCTTAGTGACGTGTTTCAACACCAACCCAAGCTCAAATCTCATTTGAGACATTTCTTCATGAATCTCATATGTGGCTGAGTTGTGTGCGGATTGCACTGCAAAAGTGTTTCTCCCAGTATATGACTTCCTAGTGCTCCAAGCTTTACTATTTCGGGAGATTTTCTCCAACTTCTCAGCAATGTCAGCATAAGGAAACTTCCCATAAGAACCACCCGCTATCATATCATGTACTGCTTTATTATTATCATCTTGTCTCCGATAGAAGTACTCTTTCAGTGACTCATCATCTATGCTGTGATTGGGGAATTTCTCAAGAACGAGGTGAACTTATCCTAAGAACTAGTGACTGATTCTCCCGGTAGTGCCAGAAAGTTGTTCACTCTATCTTTGTGATTTATCTTCTTAGACACCGGGTAGTAACGTGCTAAGAACACATCCCTCAATTGATTCCAAGTTTAGATTAAGTTATAGGGGAGCTCGGTAAACCATATAACATCCTCTTCCATCAGTGAGAGAGGAAACACTCTCAACCCAATTAAGACCATATTAAAATCAAGCCTCCCTACACAACTCTTACACACCGACCTCACCTTGGCGATGTGAGCATGTGAATCCTAAGAAGGTAGCCCCAAAAACAAACCTCTAGCAGTAAACATTTGCATCAAACTACTAGTTACCACAAAAGTGTGGTCGTGTGGTAGGGGAGGGTCGTCAAAGTCAGTAATATTATCATATCCCTTATAATTCTCTTGAGGGCGTGGAGTGGGAAGTTTCCTATGTATTTTACCTTCCCTATGATTTTCAGGTAATAATTGATCATGAGCATCAACTGGTGGTGGAATTTCCAGGTTGTGATCATCATCGAGAATACCCAAATTTTGGTTCAATCTACACAGTGTACGCTCTAGCTCGGGGTCGGGTTAGAGTATGGGTTCTCCTCTACTCCTCATACTTGGCATACACGAAAGTTAAATCTGCAAGAGGCAAACAAAAAGAAAAAGTAAAATTATGAAAATGTTGACTAAACTTTGGTAATAAGGATAAAGTTAATTTAAAAGGCACTTTCCCCAGCAGCGGCGCCAACATTTGATACGCTCAAATTTACTTCTCGAAAAGAAGTATAAGCGTTCATATCAAATAAAGAACCCAACTATGAGGTTGGGGTCGATCCAACCTGGAAAATGATTTAGACTTAACTTTAACCTATTATTACTTCTATTTAGTCAAGTCCTTTTCGAAAACAAGTAATAAACAGAGGGTTTTTTAAGCAATAAATGTAATTAACTATTTCTAAATAAACAAGTGACAGGTTTAAAGATTTTATTTTTATCAAGTAATGAGAGTAACTAGGCTTAAGTGTTCCCAACAAGTTTATAACGTGGTAATTCTAGCTATAAAATCCTTTCCTAGTATCTTGCATGCAAAGTGGTAAGTTATGTATCCCTAATTCCTTGGTCCGACAACTAGGAAATTTCACTCCGCACCTTAGTCTTGCTACGTGTGTATGCTTTACTAAACCTTATCATTACCTCATATTAAGTATCATAATCGATGTATGGCTTGGTTGTTACTTCGCACCAATCGACACTAGCCTATTAGATAGTATATACTAAATCAATCTTGATAATTTTTTTCTTATTATCTACCTCCTTGGTCCGGCAAGTACCAACAAGGTGAGTTCTAACGTGTGCACTCGTTAAAAAGACTTATAAATGAATGAATTATCACTATATGCAATACACTATTCTAGAATTATTATTGTAGCTAGTTTTTACCTTGTTAATTACCCATGGTTCCCACAACCCTAGCTATGGATTTAGTTAACCATGTAAATAATCACACAATTCATATTAGTTTGATAAGAATTCATGCACTTACTTTGATGAGATTGAAGTAAACCCAAAAAATTACTTGAATTGATCAATAAGCTTGCAATAAACGATTTTTGGAAAATAGAATAATTTCCCAAAATCATAAGTTCACAACTAGAACAATAAAATCTAAAAAATGCCCAAGAGTCTAACCCCAAAAATAAGGTTTTTCAAGTATTTATAATAATATAGTCCTAACAAAAGAGGGAAATTTATTTAAGGAAAATCTCCCCAAAAACCGCGTATGAGTCGACGATCTGGACGACGGACCGTTAAGGCCACGATGGACCGTCGTGGTCTTGCGTCATCCACACTTAGATTCTTTTCAAGATTGGTACTGGGACTACTTTCAGTTGATAATGACGGATGTGCAGGACGGTTCGTCCTGGAGATGACGGTTCTTTGAGAGCCTCTGTAACCCCACACTTAGTTAGAATCTCCGATCTTCATTCAGCATTTTTTTCTTCATACGACGGTAGCCACCTATGGACCGTCGAGGGGTTGATGGACCGTGATTGCTTCGTAGGTAGTCACTTCTGCAGTTTCAGCATAATTCTTCCGCATTTTCATTCTGGAAAGATTTCCTACAAACAAAGAGAAATATACATTAAAACTAAAACAAAAACGCTTTAGGCGCAACTAAACTAAAGGAAAAAGCATTGAAACTACCATGAAACCACGGTACACCACAAGTTCTCCAAATGTGGTTTTGTCTTAAGTTCATGGCATTCTTGGGCCACATTATTTCCGGTGATGAGATAGAGTTGATACCTAAAAGATAGAAACAGTTGATAGTTGGCACGGACCTACATCCTAAATAGATATAACGAGTTCTTGGGTTTGGCTGGCTATTATAGGAAATTTGTTAAAGGGTTATCATCTATCTAATCTCCTTTAACGAAGTTAACTCAGAACACAACCAAGTTTGAGTGGTCTGAATCTTGTGAGAAGAGCTTTAAGGAGTTGAAAAGAGATTGACTACCGCTTCGGTTTTGACCTTACTAGAGGGTACTTAAGGTTTTGTGGTGAATTGTGATGCATCGAGAGTTTTTTTTGGGTTCTGTGTTAATGTAGAATGGCAAGGTTATAGCTTATGCCTTGAGACAGTTGAAGGTTCATGAGAACAATAACCCAACCCATGACTTAGAGTTGGATTCTGTTGTTTTCACCTTTAAGATATGGCGTCACTACTTGTATTGGGTTCATGTGGACATATTCACTTATCTCAAGAGCCTCCAATATGTGTTCACTCAGAAGGATCTAAATCTCAGATAGAAAAGGTGGTTAGAATAATTCAAGAATTATGACATGAGTATTATTTACAACCAAGGTAAGTCTAATGTAGTTGTTTATGCCTTAATAATGTTGTCCATGGAGAGTACCTCCCCTGTTGAAGAATCAAAGAGGGAGTTAGATAAAGATGTGCACGGACTTGCACGTCTAGGAGTCAAGCTTATGGACTCCACAGAAGGAGGAATAGTGGTGACTAATGGGGCTGAATCACCACTAGTGTCAGAGGCTAAAGAGAAACATGACCTAGACCCAATTTTTGTTGACTTGAATGAAAATGTTCATAAGCAAAGAGTAATAGATTTTGAACAAGGAGGAGATGTTGTGTTGAGGTACCAAGGTAGGTTGTGTATACCTAGAGTGGATGGAGTCCAAGAGAGGATACTGGAGGAGGCTCATAGCTCTAGGTATTTCATTCATCCAGGTTCCACCAATATGTACCAGGATTTGAGAGAGGTGTATTGGTGGGATGGCATGAAGAAAAATATTGTTGAAATCGTTGCCAAGTTCCCAAATTGCCAATAAGTGAAAATAGAGCACCAAAAGCCTTGAGGTTTGGCTCAAACTATAGAACTTTTGAAATGGAAGTGGGATTTAATTAATATGAACTTTATCACAGGCCTGCCATGATCTCGCAGGGAACATGATTCTACTTGGGTGATTGTCAACAGAATGACAAAGTCAGCCCATTTCTGCTGGTAAAGACAACCTATTTGGCCAAGGATTATGCTAAGTTGTACCTTCAAGAGTGGTGAGAGTTCATGGAGTTCCGTTAACCATTATTTTAGATAGAGATGCACAATTTACTGCACAATTCTAGAAATCTTTCCAGAAAGGTTTGGTTTAGAAGGTGAACTTAAGCACTGCTTTTAATCCTCAAATGGATGAACAAGAAGAACGTATTATCCATAACATAGAAGATATGCTGAGATCTTGTGTGATCAACTTCAAAGGGAATTGGGATTATCACATACCTCTCTTTGAGTTCTCTTACAACAATAGTTATCATTCGAGCATCCAAATGGATCCGTATGAGGTTCTTTTAAAGAGAAGATGCAGATCTCCTATTACATGGTTCAAAGTTGGTGAAGCAGGGTTAATAGGACCTGAATTAATTCGCCAAGCCTTGGAAAAAGTGAAAGTGATTCAAGAGAGATTGAAAATGGCACAAAGTCGCCAAAAGTCCTACACATATGTTTGGAGAAGGCCGTTAGAGTTCTAGGTGAATGATTGGGTGTATATGAAAGTTTCTTCCATGAAGAGGGTTATTAGGTTTTGTAAGAAGGGAAAACTTAGTCCCGGGTTTATTGTTCCTTACAATATCTCCAAGAGAATTGACGATGTAGCATATGAGTTGGAGTTATCTCAAGAGTTAGAAGCGGTTCATCCGGTATTCCATGTGTCTATGTTGAAGAACTGCTTTGTTGATCCTTCAGTGATTGTATCAAATGAGAATGTTGGGATTAAGGATATTTTTTCCTATGAGGAGGTTTCAGTTCAAATTTTGGATCGTCAAGTTCGTAAATTAAGAACAAAGAAAGTTGTGTGGCTTAAAGTCCTTTAGATGAATCAGTTTATTGATGAAGCAACTTGAGAAGATGGGGAGGATATAAAGAGAAGATATCCATATCTATTTGCTTTTGGAGAGAATACCATTAAAGGTATTAAATTCCCTTCTTAGCGCTTTATAAGATTATGTATAAGTAGGTTGTTATTTGCTTTTGTTGTTGAGTGCTGAAATGATGTTACTACCATTAGCTGAGTGGAAGAGTTCTTATTCATGGTTGAATTTTCCCAAGGGGGATATATTGTAACATCTCGTAATTTGGAAAAACTAAGAATAAACTAAGAAACCAAGAATAATCATTGTTGAAAATAAATAGGGAAATCCGGAAAATTTCCTATGTTTAAAAAGTGAATTTCAGTTATTTTCAAACGGTCATAACTCCCAGCTCAAGAAGTGTTAGGGTGATTTCTTTATATGATTTGTAAATCCCTTGGAAATATCTTTCCAACTCTACCAAGTTTGCTTATTGTTGATGTCATATGAGGGAGATATGTCATAAATTTTAGCAACAATTGAATTAGGTGTCCCATGATTTATGAAATCATAAAGAATTCAATTATCTTTCCAGGGCCACCAAGTTTGCTAAAATTTGATCTTCGAGTGAAAATTATATCTATTTTACTGAAGCCCCATCAAGAACACCCAATCGACGGACCGTCGATTGAACGACGGCCCATCAGTCCTGGTCATCGATTGCTCTGACTACAATTACCTCAGGGGGGGTTTGGTCTTTTCCTACTTTGTTAGACACCTCAGGCACATCGTTTTGACCCTCAATCTGAGATTTTTGACAATTTAAGCTTAGAAACATAACTAAAACATACCTAAGTCAAATAATTAATCAAAACTTAGAAAATTAGAAACAAGAAAGGAGAAACAGATCAAGAACCCTAATAAAGAACGCAACAAGGTTCCATCAGTTCCAGCCCCAAAATATGAAGATTTCTCTATGGATTTATGGTATGTGGAATTCCCCAGTGGGTTCCTTTAATTCATTGGGTCCCTAGTTTTCAGTCAGATTCTTGATTCTCTATCCGGATGAGACCTAGAATTTCTAGATTTTCAACAGGCAAACATGACGATCCAAGAGTATCGGCTCAAGTTTAACCAACTCTCCAGGTATGCTCCTCACATGGTTGCTAACTCCAGTGCTCAGATGAATAAGTTATTGTATGGAGTGCCAGATTTGGTGAAAACTAATTGCAGAAATGCTATGTTACTGGGAGATATGAAGATCTCTAGGATTATGACTCATGCTTAATAGGTTGAGAATGATAAGCTTAGGAAATAGGATAAGGAGAATGAGAAGGCCAGGACTAGGAGCTATGATTAGTATCAACCAAAATCAGGTGGGGGAAATTGCTCGCAGAGTCAGCAGAATTTTTCAGCCCCAGCCCTTTCATCAGCTTGTGTTCCATCCTCTAAGAACAGGTATAATCAGAAGGTTAGGGCACTAGGCTCTAAGTATCAGGTAAGTATTTCAATAACCAAGACTTACCCCACTTGCTATAAGTTGAGTAAGAACCATCTAGGTGAGTGCCTCGCAGGAAAGGAATGATGTTTTGGGTAGGGTTAGTCTAGTCACAAATTAAGGGATTATCCTTATAGATAGGGCCAAGGAGGTGGTAATGGTAAAGCTCAATCTACAATTTCAGCGGCACAAGCAAGTCACGTGACTCAGTAGGGTTACTCTTCTGATACTGGTGGCAGACAGCTCTAGAACAGGTTGTATGCTCTTCAGGCTCGGTAGCATCAGGAAGGTTCTCCTGATGTGGTCACTGGTACGTTACGAGTCTTTGACCTTGATGTTTATGCACTGTTAGTTTCAGGGGCACCTCTTTCCTTTGTAACTCCTTACATAGCAGTCAAATTCAGTGATAGTCTAGTAACTCTTTCAGAACCTATTTCAGTCTCTACTCCAGTTGGTAACCCAGTTATAACTACACTGGTAGAGTTAGAAATTGTAGACTTCTACGTAATTCCTGGAATAGATTGGTTACAATCCTGTTATACCTCAATCGATTGTAGAACTATGATTGTTCATTTCAATTTCCAAATGAACCAATCTTAGAGGGAAGGGTAGTATCTTAGCGCCTATAGGTCTATTCATTTCTTACATTAAGGCTACAAAGAATATCTATAAGGGTGATCTCTATCATCTAGCTCGGGTTAAGGATTCTAGCTCTAAAGCCCCAACTTTTGAGTCAATTCCACTAGTTAGTGAGTTTTCAGAAGTGTTTCGAGAAGAAATTCTCAGAGTTCCTCTCGAAAGGGAAATCGACTTTGGAATTGATCTCCTTCGAGACACCTAGACTATTTCGACTCGTTCTTACAGAATGTCTCCAGTAGAGCTTAAGGAATTGAAAGATCAGTTTAAAGTCCTTCTAAGAAGGGTTTCATCATGCCTAGTATTTCTCCAAAGGGTGCACCGGTGTTTTTTTAAAAGAAGAAAGATGGTTCTCTCAGAATGTGCATTGATTATATATAGTTAAAAAGGTCACAATCAAGAATAAGTATCCCATCCCCTATATTAATAACTTGTTTAACCAACTTCAGGGTGCTAGTCATTTGTTATCATCATCTCAGAATCAGAGATAGTGACATTCTGAAAACAGCCTTCAAAACACGTTATGGTCATTATGGATTTGTAGTTATGTCGTTTGGACTAACCAATGCTCCTGCAATTTTCATGTATTTGATGAACAGAGTATTCAAACAGTACTTCGGCTTGTTCGTTATCATTTTTATTATGATATCCTCATTTACTCTAGCAATGAGATAGAACATGGCGATTCATTAAAGAGTTGTTCTACAGACTCTCAAAGATCGACAATTATTCACTAAGTTTAGCACATGTGAGTTCTTGTTGTAATAAATTGCTTTCCTTGGTCATATTGTATTTAGTGACGGGATCTGAGTGGATTCGTAAAAGATAGAATTAGTAAAATAGTGGCCCAGACAAACCTCTGCTCCATATATCCGAAGTTTCTTAGGTATAACAGGTTATTACAGAAGGTTCATAGAAGGATTTTCATCCATACGCTTACCATTGACTAGGTTCACTTAGAAGATGGTCAACTTTCAATGGTCAGATTACTGTGAGAAAATCTTTGCAGAATTGAAAACAAGATTGACTACAACTCTTGTCTTGACTCTACTAGAGGGTTTAGATGGTTATGTGATCTATTGTGATGCATCTAGAGTTGGACTAGGTTATGTGTTAATGCAGCGATATAAGGTTACAACTTATGCTTCTAGACAGCTCAAAGTGCATGAGAAGAACTATTCAACTCATGACCTCGAGCTTCCAGCAGTGGCTTTTGGACTCAATATCTGGAGACACTACTTGTATGATGTCCATGTAGATGTGTTTACAGACCATAAGAGCTTTTAATATATGTTCACCTAGAAATAGTTAAATCTTCGCCAGAGGAGATGTTTTGAATTCTTCAAGGATTATCAAATAAGTGTGCATTACCATCCTCGTAAGGCGAATGTAGTAGAAGATTCTCTTAGTAGATTATCTATGGGTAGTGTAGCCCATGTTGAGGAAGAACGGAAGGAACTAGTGAAGGATTTTCATAGGCTTGCTCGATTGGGGGTTCGCCTTATGAGTATATCATATAGTGGTGTACCAATTCAGAATGGGGCAGAATCTTCTTTGGTAGTAGAAGTTAAGGAAAAGCAAGACACTGATTCAATCTTGCTTGAACATAAGGGTGCAAATCATAATCAGAGAATGGAGGTTTTCTCCCAAGGGGGAGATGGTGTACTTCGCTACCAGGATAGATTGTGTGTTCCTTGTGTGGGTGAGTTGAGACAACATATTCTTGTAGAAGACCATAAATTTAGACATTCTATTCATCCAGGTTCCACTAATATGTACCGCGATATGCAGGATGTCTATTGGTGGAATGGCATAAAGAGGGATTTAGCAGATTTTGTGGTTAAGTGCCCTAATTGCTAGAAAGTCAAAGTAGAACATAAGAAACCATGGGGTATGACTCAAGAGATTGACATTCCTAGTTGGAAGTGGGAAGTGGTCAATATGGATTTCATCACGGGGTTACCTCATACTCGTAGGTAGAATGACTCCATTTGGGTGATAGTTGACAGGACGACTAAGGCTTCTCATTTTTTGTCTGTCAAAACTTCAGATTCGGTCGAGGACTATGACAAGCTTTACATTAATAAATTGTGAGGTTACGTTGGGTTCTTTTGTCTATCATCTCAAATAGAGGTCCTTAGTTTATATCTCATTTCTCGAAGTCATTTGACAAGGGTCTTGGTACTCAAGTTAACCTTAGCACAGTATTTCATCCGCAGACGGATGGACAGGCAGAGCATACCATTCAGACCCTAAAGGATATGTTGAGAGCTTGTGTGATCAATTTCAAGGGTAGTTGGTATGATCAGCTTCCTCTTATTGCCTACAACAATTGTTATCATTCCATCATTCATATGACCCCTTGAGAGGCTTCGTACGGGAATAGATGTAGATCTAATATTGGTTGTTTTGAAGTAGGTGAAGCAGAATAGGACCATATTGAGTCTTTTATGCTATGGAGAAAGTGCAACTCATTAGACATAGATTTAAGATAGCCCAAAGTCATCAGAAATCTTGTGCATATGTAAGGAGAAGGGAACTAGATTTCCAAGTTGATGATTGGGTTTTCCAGAAAGTGTCACCTATGAAGGGGGTGATGAGATTTGGCAAGAAAGGGAAGCTCAGTCCTAGATGTGTAGGCCCTAACAAGATATTGAAAAATGTTGGCAAAGTGGCATATGAGTTAGAGATGCCAGTAGAATTAGCAATAGTGCATCCATATTCCATATCTCACTTTTGAAGAAGTGTGTGGGTGATCCAGCCTCCGTAGTCCTATTGGAGAGTGTGGATGTGAAAGATAGAGTTTCTTATGAGGATGTACCAGTTGAGTTTCTTGACTGGAAGGTTAGAAGGTTCAGAAACAAAGATTTTGCTTCAGTCAAGGTTTTCT